TATTCTCATTTTGTCTAATAGTAAAGTCAACTTGACCTTTGCTATTAATGCCCAAAAGAGAATATTCTTCTCGTAATTTGATAATTTTAGAGTCATCAATAGTTGCAATTACACTTAATAAGATTGCAAAATAAATCTGATCTCTTCGATTCATTGCAACTATCGATTGTTTCTAAAATTTTAAGTTTTATCTTTAAAAAAATATAGAAAAAAAGATATATTTTACTAAAAATATTCTGTAGATAATATAGTTAAACTGTATTATTATGAAGTAACAGATATAGTCATTATTAAAATAATAGCTTAACTTAGCCCAAAATTTATAATTTAACTACATGCATTATTTATAATAATATAGCAAAAAGTTAATATTTGAGATAAAGAAATTGTACTAAAAAGATTTATATTACTATTAGATTTTGAACAATAAAATTGATTTGGTTTTCAAATAGTGATAGATCAGCTATAGGATATATAAAAAATTATAAAGTGTTAATAAATATAATAATTGTTGCAGCTGATGCTAAAAATAGCTAATGCTAAAATTTGGATCTATTTTGATATTAATTTTTAAAAATTTTTTAGGGTATTTTTTACCCACTTTTTTTTTATAGTCAATTTAGTGTTTAGGGTTAGAATTAATAATTAACAAGTATATATAAATTTTAGTAGGGTTTATATTTTTAAATCAAGACCCAAATTTTAGTATCAACTATTTTTAGTATCAGCTATGACAATAATTAAAATTTTTATTATTAAACAATATATCAATAATTTAGTATATTACTTACTAATTTTTATTTTTAGAATTTCATTAATCTTTTCCAAATCTATTTTAAAAATTTTTCAATTTGTGATAGTTTTCTATAGCTAAAAAACTCTTTTTGTACTATATAAATATTTTTTGGCATTAAGTATATTTATATTATGAATTAAATTATATACAATATTGAGCAAAATTTGTCAAATAATAGTAATTTGGCAAACTAAACAAATAAACATATACTACTTTGTAGTACATAAGCTAATCATTTGCTCGGTTGAGCCAAATTATCATATTTGACAAATTGCTCAATATTGATGTTATTCAGCAATTTATGATTATGATTGGTAGAAAATTATCAGCTGAGTTTTAATTTGAATAAATATAATTATATTATAATACATGAAAAAATAACAAGACAGATAGCAATTCATAATCATAAGAGTTTTCCAGATAAATAAATTTAAATACTTACAGCAATTTAATTTATATGGGATTTTTTAAACTATTCTCATTTTCAGAAACCAATTTGAAATTGTAAAAAATTATCTTGGTTTTTAATGAGTATTTTATACTCATATAATTTATATATTAATTCGATAGTTTTCTTATCTACTTTATTTAAAATAGGTTTAAAACTTTTTTTAATTTTTTTTTGAAATTTATTTTAGAAATTATCAATATTGATATTAAAAATTAATGATTATCATTCGATTGAATAGAACTACTTTGTTATTGTAGTTAGTAGTATAGTATATGAGATATCATTCTTTAGTAGGGTAAGAAGAATTTCCAAATTACAAAGTATATCAGTATCGTAGTTATTATTCAAATTTAACTTTTAATTATTATTATTCAGAAGCCTGTGACTTTCGTTCTTCGAATTTGACTTTATTTACCTTTATTGAGAAGTCTATGACTTATCGGGTTTAAATTTAACTTTACGTATAATATATTTTCATATGATCGCGTAGTAATTTCCGTAAACTTTAAAAAAATCAATTGGTAATTTGTTCCAGGAATTAGCTATAAATAGCATTCTATTAATGCAATAAAAAAATGCGGTATAAACCCGAAACAATATTCTATTGTATAATTTATAATCCTATATATATAAATTAAAAAAATTTCTTGTTTGGTGCTTAATTTAAAAATTATCTATTGTCATTCTATATTTAAATTGCACCAACGCTTGTTGATATAGATGCTTCTCGTCGTATGATTCTCATGCATTCCTTATTAGGCTAGAATTACTATTTACAGAAGGTTATTGCAGATCATTTATCGTGAAATCTTGATTAATTGATGGCGTAACAAGATATCATGTGCATAATCGTGATGTTCCGACGTCTCGATTTTCATCAATCGTGAAATGACCCAGATCGATTCATGATCTAACGCTAAGCAATGTAATAAACTATTGATTTAATTTACTGCATTAACTGTCAATGACGATAATAATAATATGAAAGGGTAAAATCTGCGCAAAGGTGATAACTTTCTTGACGAGATTTATACTTAACTAGAGGATGCAGATGTGGGCAGCTTCGCCACCCAATTGAGGCTGTTATATATTATTTTTTAAAAGAAATAATATATAATGGTTAAATGAGATTATATCAGTAGATTTAGGTATATTTAAAAAATTTTAAGTAAGATTTTATTGTATATAAACATATGTATAAAATATAAATATATAGTATATTGTTTTATTTGAT